TGCAGTGAACCTCATAAGGTGAATTTTGTTGATTCTGAAGGACAAAACAGCCAGATGAGTGCTCAGGACAGCTGGGAGGCCCAGGAGAAGAGCAAGAGGGCAAATAACGAGCCCAGGTAGTGGGTGGTCAGAGCAGAGTCAGTGGTGACAGAAAAGGCACAAGGAGCAATTCTATTCTGACTACACTCAGGTGAATACCTCTGGTAAGAGTACTCGTGGGACTCTGAGGACTGCTGTAACCACAAGGGTGGTGTGCCAGTAAATAAAAACCCATGAAATACTTGAGCCATACTATGGGGGCAGGTCGGTCTCGGTGGCAGGGCTTTGTGGTCGCTGAGGAAGTAGGAAGCTCGAAGCTCACATCACAAGAACCGAAGCGATGTTGTGCTGCTGATAAAGCTAACGTAGCTTACAGACCACGTGGAAAATAACACTGTTTTCCTAAACAGCCGTCCTGGTACGTCCAATACCTCCTCTTCAGCCTCTGCCAAGAGGTGAACCGGGTCGGTGGCCACACTCTTCCGAAAGTCACCTTGCAGGAGCTGCTGAGGAGCTGCATGGCAGAGGTGCTTGCTGCCTATGAAAAACTCATGGAAGAGAAACAGGAGAAGGTCCGTGAGTAGGATCAGCGGGGCAGGAGGGTCACTGGGCACATGGCAATGCGTACGCTTCCATCCCTTGGAATAGAAAACGTGTGCCTGTGCAGGAAGGCCGCGTACGTTCTTCCCCTGCCCTACTCCAAAAACGAGGCAAAAAAAGGGGATCAGACACCAGATTGCATGCTCAGAATGGTTCGAGTAGGGTGGTTGTTTCTCAGTGCTGGTGTGTTTAAATATTTCCCCGGAGGCAGTTCTTTGACAGCCCTCTGTGTGAGCGAGGAGCCCTGTTCCTGACTGTCCTGTTTGCAGAAAGCCGGCGGCTTCCCCGTGACCCAGAACAGGGCGCTGCAGTTACTCTACGATCTGCGGTACCTGAGCATCATCTTGACGGCGAAGAGCGAGGAAGCAAAAACCAGCAGGATCAAGCATGACTCCAGGTGTGGTGCAGTTCTGGGGTTCAGGTACCAGCAGTAGTTTGTGGGGCCCTAAAACGGTTTAAACCAACAGCCTTAGCGGCTGCCAGGAGGACGCCCGCAGGAGCGGTGCCCTTAGGCCATGCGGGAGGAAGGCAATGCAGACTCTAAGCCCTGATGTCTTCACCAACGCTAAGCTCATCCTCAAAACACAGGAGAGGTGGGATTCTGTGGCTGAGAGCTCGCAGGCAGCAGGGTGGCCCCCTCTGCTTGCGTATACAGCGTGTCCCTACGGTGGCAGGGATACTGTTAGGGGATGCCCCTGGAGAGACCTGAGGCATCTCCCTCTGAGGTGCACCACAGGGAGGAGGCTCCTCTGCAGGAGCAGATGTCGCAGGTTGTGTAATAGCTGGAAACCCTCTGGGCAGCTGCTGTTCTGCTGAGTAATTCCTGTTTTGCTCAGTCACTTCTTAGGAGCAAGTCCCTCGCTGTTTCAGAGGGAACAGTGAAACTGCCCTGTTGGCATCAGCAGCCGTCCCTCGGAGGTGACCCCTGACAGGACTCTGCTCTCCTTGCAGGATCGAGAAGGTGACCGACTTCCTGGAGGGACACATTGATCCTTTTGACTTGGACGTTTTCACTCCGCACTTGAACAGCAACCTTAATCGGCTGGTTCAGCGAACCTCCGTAAGCTCAAGGAAAAGGAAGGGATGGATGAGGAAGCAGGGCTGCCAAACACTTGTTACAGGGCAGCTGGGGTGGCTTTATAAGCTGCTTAGTGCCTAAAGATAACTGCTGGCACTTACTCAGCAACGGGAAGAGTTATTTAACGCCAGCTGAAGATAAGAGGAGCTTGCTGAGCCGGCTGCATGACACATAATCGTGCATGAAGTTGGCTGAACTTTAGCTAAGAGGATTCACTGGAGCCTGTGCGGTTCCAGTTGGGTTAAGCAGTGCTGAAACAGGCCTAGAACTCAGCTACAGTAATAATGAACAGCACCAATTAAAAGCAAGAGTTAGAGGGGGAAGAGAGACACTTGGTGTTCAACCTGAAAGCCAAGCGGCGTGCCAGCAGATGTGCCAGCAATGTACCATGTGGGTGCCTCTGCAGCTGCCCCCAACACAAACGGCTCCTCCGTGCCTTCCAGGTTCTCTTCGGCTTGCTGACCGGGACGGAGAACCAGTACACGAGCAGGAGCGGCACACTGAGCTCCCAGGAGCTCCACAACATCCTGCCGTTAGCATCCAGCCAGATCAGGTAAGGTCCTCAGCTCTTCCGCGCATTTTTGTGTCTCTTTGGGAAGCGGGTCTGGAATTGTTGCTTCCCTGTGACCGGCTGCGTTTCTTTCTTCCACCTTTTAAGATTTGGCCTTCTGCCGCTGAGTATGTCGAGCTCACGAAAGAGCAAGTCTGCTGCCAGGAGCACAGAAGGAGTTCAGGTTGGTAAAACTGAGCTGCACTAACTTTTTGCCAGTACTTGTTCTCCCACCAACAGTAGAGCTTGCGGGGAAAGAAGAAAGTAGCCAAACAGTTAATATTTAACCCGATTTTTATTTTCGGTAAAAAGAGAATCATTACAGCATGAGATGGTTTGGATTTCCCCTTGACCCTCAGAAAAACTCTGCTGGCCCCTGCATTTTTGGGGCCCGCTGCTGTGTGGCAAAACATAGGCAATAACCACTGTGGAAACGCAGGGAAGACTCGTGCAGATGAGGCGTTTGGAGGTCAATAAAAGACAATTCATTTAAGATGGCTGCAAGAAACACTGAAGGATGCTGGCTAATTGTTTGAACTCCTTTCCAGTGCGATGCTGACCTTTAACTCCTGCCGAAGCCTGGCTGGGTACTGAAGCCTGGGTGACCAGAGTGGCTTGCTCCTCTTGCAAGGGCTCCGTGCTGTCCTGTTTCCGAGTTTTATCAGTAGACAACCACTATGTTGCTGCTTTTCCCCGTTTAAAACATCTGCTTAGATGGAGTTCTCTGTGCTGAGGCTTGAGAGCTAAGGAATACCTCACCACTACAGGGAGCAGTCATGAGTAGTCTGTTTCCTTGAGCTATTATTAACCCAATAATCCATTTGTGGTGATGTCTTTTCAACTGGGACAGAAGAGTGAAGGTCTGGTTTTATCAGAGTGGAGTGCAGTTTCTCTGCACCTCTTTTTCTCTGTTACTCAGAAGCACTAAGGACCAGACACAGGATGAGGGTTGTTCAGAAGCCCAAAGCTTCCCCATAAAGGTATTCTTTACCTCTTACACCTCAGCTGTAGTAGAGTGTAGAAGTGTGCAGTGATGTTTGGCTCGCTCCTGCCACTCCCCTCGCCTGCTGTGGTGGCACAGGTATGATCTGCACTAGCCACGCTCCTCAGAATCCCTGACAGGTGCTTGCTCCTTCTTTTATGCAAACAGTTGAGGAGAGGTTAAAGTCCATAGTTACTCAGGAACGTAGTTACTCTCTGCAAGGGCAGCAGCTGTACTTCTGCTGTGCCATTATCCCCTTGCTCTGAGCACAACAGCCTCTCTCCTGCAGTTCAGAATGATTTTTTAGCATTGAACGACATCTGGGAAGTTACCTGTTGCTAACAGCAGCCAGACGCTGTGCTTGTGCCACTCAGCTGCCTCTGTCTGCCTGGCACTAACCCCAGAGTGACACTGCTGAGGTTGTGGTTCAAGCTCAAGTTGCCTAGGAAGAGCTGTTCTGCTGTAGTCTACGTCTTGTTGCAGCTGCTAGAGATGAGGGTACAGAGTAAGTCAAAGGTACGCTGTAATAGTTACTGACGCTTCTGTTTTTAAAAACTGACAGGTTCCAGCTCCGGCACTCACAAGAGCAGACGACGAGGCATCGCGCCCTGGCTCTTTGTTCAGGCAGCTTGTAACTGAAGAGGAAGACACAGCTGCACCTTCTCTCTTCAAGCTGGGGTGGCTTTCTGGCATGACCAAGTGAGGCAATAAAAAATAAGAAGTTTGCCTGTGTATCTGTCTTCACTGAAATCGCTCTCTTCCCCTTGGCAGAGACCGGTGGCACCTCTGTGGGTATCGTCAGAAGAGAAGTACTTGTCCAGACCATAGTACACCCCTTGAACCAGGCACAGGTCAGGATTGTCCTTGTCCTCTGGCTGCTGAAACAGAGTTGTAGCTACACTTATACCTCCTCTTTCTTAGAAGTTGTTAACCTTAAAGTAAAATTAAATAAAAAAAACCCACCAACTATACACTGTAACAGAAACCAAAACATTTTACAGCTAGAAGGGGGTAGTGGAGCTATGTAAGACTCCTCTCTCCTCCTTCAAAAGCCCCTCCCCAGGCTACTCTATACTCTTCCCCATAGGCACCACGAATCTGCTCTCTCAGTGAGCCCAGCAGGCACCTGACATTTTGGCTACAGCTGCCTAAGCTTTCCTGGTTCTACTTTCACATTTTTTTTCAGTACTGCAGCAGTACAGATCATGCAAGATAAGGCTCATCACACACCAAGCTGGTGGGAAGCTCACAGCTGGGGCAGTCCTAAGGGATTCCAGTGACAGCACCTACTCTTACTGTCTTACTAACTCTAAATGCTCAAAAAAATTGTTACTGAATAAATTTTTTACTAGTTTATTGAAATTAAAAAAAAAAAAAAAGACTTATAAAACTTAAGATGAACGTTTGAGAGAACTTTACATAAAGCAACAAATCGCTAACAGATTAGGCAGTTGATGGAAACTGGACGTTTTGCAACCCTATAACACAGATGTGGACTCCTCAGTCTCCTCCTGACAGGTATTGTTAGAACCACCCCAAAAAAGACTCCTGTAAAAATTGCTTCAAAGCCCCTTTTGCATTGCAATAGTGCAGCAGACCACAAGTAAACAATTCCCTGTTAACCTGTTATTTCAAATATAGACTGAAAAGGCAACAGGCGTTTTGTGCAATTTCATTTTAACAAACTTTGAAGTTGAAATATCAAATCCCACAGTGCTGTCCCTTCACAGAAGGGAGGGAACTCTGGTCCCTCATGTCGGCAGGCGCCCCCGGCTCTGTAGGCTGTGGAAATGTGCTTCCTTCAGGATCTGGTTAATTCGGAAGTAGGGGCCCTGGCTGAGCGCGGACTGCTCGTGGAACGACTGGCAGGAGACGGGGCTGGAGCCCGCTGCGCTCGGGTGGAGGCTGCTGTCCGCACCACATGCTCTGTCGGGACTGTGGATG